AAAAAAAAAAGAAACTGTGCCTATAAAAAATGGGTGTAGGGGTAAGGGATTTAGCTCAGGGCTCCACCACCTGCTTTGCAAGCACAAGGTCCCAAGTTTGATCACTGTTACTCCAAAACTATGGAGATGATATAGATATAGATATATCGCAGTGCTATGATTCTAAGGAGTTGTGTATATATATATATATATATATATCTAGATCTATATATATCGCAGTAGTAGGATTCCTTTAATTCTTTTGGGAAGATACCTAGCAAGGAAATACCTGGGTCATATGGGACCTCTAATACTGGTTCTTTTAGAAATCTCCATACTGATTTTCTAAGTGGTTGCACTGGTCTACACTCCCACCAAGAATGGAGAAGTGTTCCTTTGTCCCCACAGCCCTATCAGCATTGGTTGATTTCTTGAGAGCATTGTTTTTTCTGGAGTCAGGTGGAATATCAGTATTGTTTTCATTTGCATCTCTTGAATGACCAGTGACACTGAACATTTTTAATATATTTATATGCTACTTCTACTTCACCTGAGAAATGTTTGTTCATTTCAGGTGCAAATTTTGGGGTTGGGTCTTTAAATTTGAGAGGTCTGGTTTTTTTAAGTTCGGAATATATTCTAGATAGTAGACCTTTGTCTGAAGACGAGCTGGTAAAAATTTTTTGCACACTGAGGGTTTTCTCTTTACTTTGTTGCTGGTTTCTCTTCTTGTGCAGAAGCTTTCTAATAAGACAAGATCCCAGTTGTTGAATTTTTCTGCTAGTAAATGGGCAACTGAGGTTTTGTTCATGAAAGCTTTTCCTACACCAATATCTTCAAGAGTACTACCTAACCTCTCTTCCAGACAGTTTAGTGTTTCTCTTTTAATATTTAGATACTAGATCCACTTTTATTTTAGTTTAGCTCATGGTGAGACATATAGGTCTAGTTTTAATCTTTGGAAACTTGAAAGCTGTTTTTTCCAGCACCATTTATCAAAGAGGCTCTCTTTCCTCCAGTAAGGGTGTTTGGTTCCTTGGTCAAAGATGAAGAGGCTGAGTATGTCTGGAGTTATTTCTGCCTCTTCCTATCTTTATTCCTTTTATTTCTTCTCTTGTATAACTGCTGTGCCTAATGTTTCCAGAAGTATATTGAACAGCAATGTTGGTAGCAGACATCCTTATCTTCTTCCTGATTTTAGCATGAAGGATTTCAGTTTTTGACCATTTAGTATGTGATTGGCTGTTGCTTTTTCATAGATGGCTTTTATCAGATTGAGGTACAGACTGTCTGATCTGATGTTTTGTAGGGTTTTTATCATGAATACATGTTGAATTCTGTCAAATGCTTTTCCTGCATCTATTGAGATGATCGTATGGTTTTCATCCTAGGCTCTATCAATATAGTGTGTTGCATTCATTGATTTGCATTTGTTGAACCAGCATCCTTGGGATGGATCCCACTTGGTCAGTGTGTATGATCTTCTTGATGATCTTCTGCATTCTATTTGCCAGTATCTTCTTAAGGATTTTTGCATCTATGTTCACTAGTGAGATTAGCCTATTGTTTTCTTTTTCAGTTGGGTCTTTCTCTGCTTTGGGGATCAAGGTGATGCTTGGTTCCAGGAATGAATTTGAGAGTATTGCTTCCCTTTCAGTTTCACTGAAGAGTTTAAAAAGTAGTAGCTGGAGTTCCTCTCTAGGTGTCTCATAAATTTCAGTAGTGAAGCCATCAGGACCTGGGCTTTTCTTCATTGGTAAGTTTTTATTTCAGTTTTCATTTTTGTTGACTGATATGGACTTGTTTAGAATTATTAGGTCTTTTTCATTCAACTTTGGTAATTCATGCATATCTAATAATCTGTCCATTTCTTCTATATTTTCCATCTTATTGGCATATAATTTCTCAAAATACGTATTGATAGTCCTCTAGATTTCTGCTGGGTCCATTTTAATTTCACCCTTTTCATTCCTAATTGCATAGATTTGGGCTTTTTCTTTCCTTTTTTGATAAGGTTGGCTAAGAGTTTGTCCATTTTGTTTATTCTTTTGAAAAACCAACTCTTTCCTTCATTGACATTTTCTCTTGGTCTCCATTGCATTGATTTCTGCTCTGATCTTTATAATTTCTTCCCTTGTTGAGCTTTGGGTTTGTCCTGTTCTCCTTTTCCTAGAAGCTTGAGGTTTAGCATTAGGTTGTTTAGCTGAACTCACATTATTTTCCTAATATGAGTATTCACTGCTGTGAATTTCCCTCATATGACTGTTTTTATTGTGTCCCATGAATTTTGATATGTTGTGTTGGGACCTTCATTTAATTGTAGAAACAGATTTGTTCTTTAATTTCTTCTGTTCCCCATTGGTTCTTCAGGAGTGTATTTTTGTATTTCCACCTGTTTATGAAATGCTTGTTTTTTATTTTGCTCTTGCTTTCCAATTTCATCATACTATGGTCTGATAATGTACAGGGAATAACTTAACTCCTTTTCATTTACTTAAACATGTTCTATGAGGAAGTATGTGGTGTATTTTGGAAAACGACCTGGGTGCAGCTGAAAATAATGTGTATTCTGATTTTGTTGAATAGAACACTCTGCGAATATTTGTTAAGTCCATTTGTTCAGGAGTTTGGTTGAGTTCTAGTATTGGGTTATTTTTTGTCTAGTAGATCTACCTGTGATGGTGGAGTATTGAGGTCTTCCACTACTATTGTATTACTGCTTATTGGATTTTTCCATTAATATTTGTTATATACAGTTGGGGGCAGCAGAATTCAGTACATGCATATTTATGATTGTCATCTCTTCCTCTTGGATTGTTCCCTTTATAAGGATATAGTGGCCTTTTTGGTCTCTTCTAATTAGCATTGGTTTGAAATCCATTTTATTGGTAAAACATATAGCTACCCCTGCTTTAGGGCTGGGTTCCTGTAGGATGGAGTTTATTTTGAACCCTTTAACTTTCACGCTCTGAGTTTCTTTTTCAATAAGTGTGTTTCTTGTATGCAGCACATTGGTGGATCTTGCTTCTTGATCCATTCTGCCAGTCTATTTCTTTTGATTGGTGAATTGAGACCATTAATATTGATGTTGTTACTGATACATATTGACTTATTCTGTCATGACAGTTTCCTCTTGCTAGACTCTCCCCCTTTGCATTTAATTTCTTGCCTGGCCTGATGGATTCATTTTTCTGGGCTTCATGGGGTTTTGACCCATGTTGTCTTTTCCTAAGATATTGTTTAAAGATTTTTGGAGGGCTTTTTGGTATTCATGAAGTTCCTCAAGTGTTAACATGAAAGTATCTCTTTTCTCCATCAATTCTGAAAGATAGTTTTGCAGGGTATATCAATCTGGGTTGGAGGTTGTATTCTTTTAGGGCTTGAAACACTTCACTCCAGGCTCTTCTTGACTTGAGGGTTTATGTTGAGAAGTCTGCTGTGATTCTGATGGGCTTTCCTTTGTATATGAATTGTTTTGTTTTGTTTTTTCTCTAACTGCTCATAGAATTTTGTTTTCCTGTTGGGTTTCTGGAATCTTGACTATTATATGCCTAGGTGTTGATTGTTTTTTATCCCAGCTAGGGAATACTATAGGCCACACTTACCTGTATGTCAAATTCTGTTCACCTCTTTGAGAAGTTTTCTGCATTACTTCTGTCAACAGTTTTTTTATACTATTCATACTATGTCATGTTTTCTTCATTGACTCTGACCAGTCTTATGTTATTCTTCTTGGCATCATCTAGCAGCTGCTGACTTAATTTCTCATGGTGCCTGGCTATTTTTAAGAAATATTTTATTTCCTGGTCACTAATTGCAATTCTGTCTTCTATATCTGATAATCTCTCCTCACATTTGCTTGTTCTGCTGTGTAAACATTCAATGGTGTTTCTAATCTCCTGGAAACCTGCTTGCCTCTTTTATGGTTTCCATTTGTTTCCCATGCTGGGTTTCCATCATGTCCCTCAGCTCCTCTATTTCTTAATCTGTGTCTGCTCTACAGTTATTAATCATGTCTTTCTATATGTACACAATCACTTTTGTTATCTAAGAAATTACTTCTGATTTTATTTTTTCCAGATACTCTTTCATTGCCAGTTCAGGAAGTCCAGGTGATTGAGTTTCAGGTTATTCCACCTAGTTTCCTTTGGGGTTGCCTTTGGTGATCTGAAAGTCTGGTTTTGAGCTTTGTTTAGGCATCTTCTCATTTCAGCCAATGAACTCGGTGGATTAGCACCCATTATTTGATTTTCAAACCAAACACTAATCCTTTACAGCTAGCAAGGAAGAAACCAAAAACTTCTTTTATTTTCTAGTTTATGAATATAGACAGAGAAATGAACTTTAGCCAGATTTTTTCTGCCTGTTTAGAGGTGCAAGAGTAGAGCTCACAACACCCAATTTCCAGTTGGCTCACAACCTTTCTTTACTGACTTCATGTATATGGTTGCTTTCATTCAACAATAAACAGACTGACAGTATGAGTGAATTTTTAAAGCTGCAAATTCCAAATTTGTTTCTACTGTCAGTATAGTCCCTAACCAGTCTTTGAAAGACAAGGCGTTTCTTCCCACTCTGTTTTTACCCAACAGCCTACTCTAACAGGACCAAAGAGAGTCTGCAAGCATTTTGGCCCAGGACTGCTGTTACAGGGCTTAACATGTGTGTCAGCCTTCTCCACTCAACAGCATCCTTTGGAGATGTCACTGTTTCTTTTCTTACTTCTAAGATTTTATTATGTTGGTTCAGTAGCAGAGTCTTATCTTTGGGCTCCCATGCTTGGCTCAGTACCTACACTTAGAGGTACCTAGGTACATCTGTTGCATGAATTGGTTTACTACCAGTCCCTTCAGTTCAGCATGCACCTTGATTTATCACATAGGTTTTAAATACCTAGATTTCTTCTCAGAAAATATTATACCTTACAAGCAAAATCAAATGCATTAGACAAATTCTGTAAAACAAATACATTGAGAGGAACTGTTGTTTGTATATTTTCCGGAAGGACCGAGAGGGTTACATGGAAAACAACACTTACTGCTAAGTCTACTGGGCATGTCAAAAGCCTTAGCATGATGGAAACCCAACTTATTGGAATTAAATGAATACCACCTCCTATCAGCCAAATGCCATACTGAGCTTTGTTGAAGCCCAAATTATAAAATTTTAAAAATGGATCCTAATTCCCATGACACACACACCCTACAATGTCCCAAGTCTGAGAACCATTATTGCCTTGTGACCTCATAATGGACTCCAGAGTGTCCCGTGTGATTTTTTTTTTTTTAAGAAAGGGGATTGAACTCAGGACCTTGTGATTGCAAGGAAGGCACTCTCACCACTGACTTAAATCTCCGCCCCCCCATGTCACTTTTGCTGAGACTTCCATGGTCAGTTTTGCTTCTGTTCAAGGTAAACAGCCCCACCCCTTTACTGCAGGTGATATCTTCTTCATACTGTAGGACATGGCCAAAATCACTAATTCTTTCAGACTCTGCACGTGTTGCATAAAAATTAACATTTTTACTGACTGCAATTCCTACACTTCAGAGAGGAAAAGCGACAGCAAAAGGACCTTTTAATACTGAGGGGATCTGTCCCCAAGGGCTGAAGATATGTGGTACACTAGAAAATAATAATAACTAAAATAAACTGAGCTCTTGCTATGAAGTAGTTATACTTCTGGAGTTCTTCCAACATAGAGCAGTCGTTCAGTCTCCACAATTATTTATAGTTGTACTACCATTATTATCATTATTATTATTATCAGTATCATCATTATTATTATTCTTGTATCCTTTTACTGGTGAGAAAAGCAAGACACAGAGAAGATAAACAGTGAGTTCAAGATCACACAGCTAATAGATCACACAGCTAGTATTCAACCAAAACAGTCAGATTTCAAAATCTGCCTTTTTTACCAAAATGTGATTCAGCCTCCACTCGAAGATGAGAGAACTGGAATTCTGGCACTTCCTACGCCCATTCCTGTATCACAGGTTCTTTTCCCACTTTATGATATGAAGTAGTAATATCTGACCTTGCTCTCACAGAGCATCCCATGGCCAAGAGAGTTGCAGTGATTGGAGCTGGAGTGAGCGGCCTGTCTTGTATCAAATGCTGCTTGGATGAGAACCTGGAGCCCACCTGCTTTGAGAGAAGTGACGACTTTGGGGGGCTATGGAAGTTTACTGTGCGTGCCTTCCCTGCACTTGTCTCCATCCATCATAAACTGACCGTCTGTTTCTGCTCAGTCAGGTGCTTTAGGCTGCCTTGGTGATCAAATACAGGAGTAGCTCACTGCAGCAACAAAACTATGGGTTGTGACATGCACTATGAACATGCAGGCTGATTAGGAGCCACATGAATCAGTAGGGCATGGTCAGGGGTATGAGGAGAGAGAAATAAGGAGTAAATTCTGATAGACACGCATGGTGTTAGCAGGTTATGATGATTTCTGGGTACTGACATAATAATACAAAGTAGTAGGGGCAAGGATTTTGTTCAGTGGTGCCACACTTGCCTCACAAAGGCAAGGTCCTAAGGTCTATTCCGAGT